GTTAGGTGACTGTGGGCCACGCCGGCTGCGGAGCTTGTAGAAAGTTCTTTTGTGTACACAACGCGGGCTTCATCAGCCTGATAGCGGTCGCTTCCCCTATTGCTAGCAGGCGCTGACCCAGGGACTTCGGATAATTTGACGGGACCTTGTATATGACTCGGTAAGCTTCGTTGGGGTCCGCCCGATGTCCGGAATCAACCATGTGCGCCAGGATAGGACTGTTTATGCTCCTGACTTCACTTTTTCTGAGTCATGACGGGAGGTGTTCCTTTATTCTTTTGGATAGGCGCCGGCTCGTGCGACCAATATACATTGCTCCACAGGAGCAAGTACAGGAGTAGATGCAAATAGGGGTGGTCTGAGCAGGTAACCTATCCTTACCTTCCCCATGTAAGATTGGGTTGGTTGAGAATACTACTCAAAGTCTGGCTGCTGGAAAGGTTCGTGAAACGGCTTGGTCAAGGCATCTTTTTAGTAGTTCACTCGCCGCGTCCCCTCGGAAGGAAACGCTGAGGAATAGTGTTTTCATTTGCGCAGTCAGTACGGTGGGTTTTATTTGTCTCGCAGCCATATTCCTTGTATTAAATAGATAGCCAGTCGGAACACAGAGAGAAGTGAACCCACTGGCCAGGCGTGAAGGCTGGTCAGTCAGAATAAGGAAAGTGATGCACGCGTATCCATGACCTTAATCAGCGCTTGACGCGCGTTTCGTGTGATGATATCCCGATGGGCATACACAGCAAATACTGTCTACTGAGCAAATTTTTCTAGTCCTTTGTACTAAGCAGCGAACTACATTTAGCTTCTGTTGAAAGCGTACGAAACTGTTAAAATTCGTGTACTGTCCAGATGTGGTTTTCTTTCTAAAAATGGTCCTTCGCACGCTACCGTCACGTCGGCGACTTAGCAGGACATCCATGAAGGAAAGCGAATCTGTCTTTTCCACCTCCAACGTGAACTAAGTGGACGGATGTGCTTGGTTAATGGCATTGAAAACTGCACTTACATCGGTTTCGGTTGCAGCGATCGCAAAGATGTCATCAAGGAAGCAACCATAGTGTTTTAACTTGCGGATCTGATGACTCAGATGAAATTTATCCAGCTTGCCAATAAATATGTCAGATAGGAGAGGTCCAAGAGGCGAGCTCGTAGCAACGCCATCTATTTGCCCGCATAATTGACTACCAAGAAGAAAATGCATATTAAATGTAAATTTTCGTATTTGTTCCTTCAGTGCATTTCTTGGTATTCCTATGTCCAGCTGATTTGCCAATAGGTATTCGCAAATATAATCGACTATCTCGGGAACCGGGACGTCTGTTAACAGCGATGAGACGTCTAGAGAGAGTACCCTTATGCCGCTTATGTTCACATATTTTACGACGTCCATAAATTACAGTAGATTCCCTATCTCATGAAATATCACCCGGAATTCTGAAATGCGTTTTCGATTCAAGCATATTAATTACGCATGGTTTTAAAAATGACGGTCGTACAGCCTCATCTCAACATATTTAGGTTACGTCAGGATGCCGGCTTTTTAATAAGTTCCTTTCTGACCGCTAAGTAAAATTATGTACTATAAAAAGTGGTTGCTTAAGTAGTATGCCTTACTGTCATTGATTTTGACTGCCATTATAAATTTATATATGTTTTAAGGGGAAACGCACGAAAAAAAATATTTCTTATACTCGTTTGGTAGCAAATTACGCCTTCTTTAAATGTTATACCTAAAGAAAGGGTATCT